CAAAAAGGAGTGGATTAATACAGTCAATTGCAATTTAATTTTCTTTTAGAATTCATATAATTTTGCAGTTCGTTGCCTTTCAGCATCGAGCTTATTGAACAGTGGAAAGATCATATGGAAGCTCCTGATCATTGCAATTGTCTAATTAAATCATTCACCACCATTACCTTTCACCATCCCCACTTTCCATCACCACCTTTCACCACCATAGTCGCCACCGCCTTTCACCACCCCCACCTTCCTCTCCCACCTTCCATCGCCACTGCCTTCCACCACCACCGTCCCCGCCTTCCACCACCATTACTGCCATCGCCACCACCACCACCTTCCACCACTGCTACCACCTTCCACTATTACCACTGTCTCCACCTTCCACCGCCACCACAGTCGCCTTCATTGGTTTCCACCAACGTCACGTACACCACTATTTCCTTCCACCACCGCCACCACACTACTGCCATCGCCTTCCAACACCACCACCTACACCACTACCGCTTTCCACCTCCACCACCAGCACTGCCACCATTTATTTTTAAAAAAATAAAGAAGAATGTCATTTTATTAATTTGTTACTAAGAGGGATATTTTGGATAACTCAATTATGAAATTCATTCCATTCTAAATTTTAAATTGGTTCAATCAAACGCTAGAATGGTTATTATCATTCTATTTCTACACATCTTATATATACAACAAAACAATATAATGAGAATGATCATTCTATTACAGTCCCATTCTCATTCCATTATATTCCATTCATGCATACCAAACGTAGCATAAGAAAATTCTTGAAATATATTATCTTATAAATTTATCAAAATTATTAATCTAACCACTTGGCCCAAGCAGCCTACACGCTTGAATTGGGGATACTAACAATCGGGGACAAATCTTCTGTGGGCTTAGTGGCAGCATCTGCCTCCACTGAAATTTTTTGTTTTTGTATTTTATTCCTCTTAATTAATTAATTAATTTTTTTTTTTTTAAATTTTTTTAACCCATAAAATTTTAAAATTACTCCCACTAAAATTATAAAAAAACCTCTCTATTTAAGTTCCTCCATAATTTTCTAAGTCCATCACTTAGAATTGTGGTGTCGCATCCAATAGTGAAGATGTTTCCTATGTTAAAAAGAAAGACAGTAACTCACAGTTAAATGAGGATGTTAACTTTTTTGCGCACCCTCTAAAGTTAAAACACACGGCTAAACGAACGATTAAAATTCATTGTGTACTGAGAATATTGTTTTCATTAGTTATTCTCAACGTTATGATTTTATGGAGGAGTTTTTATAACAAAATGATAATGTGGTTGATTTTAATTGGATGAAATGAATTATGTCCTTTCTCACTTGTTATGAGAGGAACTTGAATACATTACACCAAAACGACAACGTGGACGTAACATCGATGTAAATATACACGAGATATTTATTTTAAAAATGCAACACTCATGTAATGCTGTAACAAAATTAAATTATGATATAATATCTTATCGTTGTATTGTTAATTTAATGTTATTTAGTTATACATAATTCAAATCCAAAATATTTATTTTAAAAATGCAACACTTATGTAATACCATAACAAAATTGAATTAAGAATACAATACATTGTCGTTGTATTATTGATTTAATGTTAGTTAGTATTTCATTCTCAATTGATAATACATAATTCAAAAACAAATGTGCATTAGAAAGGATCTAGTTAGTAAAATACGATAATTTGATTATTTTTTTCCGGTAGTTAACTGTAATTTGATTTTTTAATTAAAAAAATAGTAAAATTAAAAAAGGAATTTACGGAAAAATAAAAATGAAAAAAATTATGTTCAAGTATAATAATATTTTATTTAAAAATTCACCATTTAAAATTCGATCACACATATACTATTTTTCTCTTCTTATATTTTGAATAATAAGAAGTATGTAGTGTTGTAAAGAGATGAAAAATTCTACAAAATTTAAAAGTTTGCAAAAACTAAAGTATGCAATGTTATAATTTAAGGGAGGATTCTACAACATTGAAGAATTTGCAAATATTGATATATTGAAAAAGATTTAGAAGGATAGAGAATGTATACATTATTTATATATTTAGACAAAGAGTTTCAATACATATTGATTATAATACATTCTTGTCTCCATAAGAATAGAGATATCTATATAAGTAGAAACACATATGTAACATAAGTAACACATTTATTATAATACATCCTTCCCTCCACGTATCTATATAAGTAGAAACATATATTTGTATGTGAGATAAGTTACCAAAGTACAAAAGTGAAGTTTAAAAGCTTTCAAGAATAATTTAAAGTGAGGAAAAACATTCAAAATGATCCCTTCGGTTTTATCGATCACTCACGTGAACTTATTTCTTTCTATCATTAGTCTCACCAATCACTGCGTGAATCTATTTTGTATCTACCATTTCGATTTTATCGATCACTCGCTTGAATTTATTTATGTCTATCACCATTAGTCCACCAATCACTACGTGAATCTATCTGTATCTATCGTTTATGGTCACACCGACGTTTCATTAAACGTCAGATAGTTTGGTGGATCACATCATGCTCACATCCTCCCTAGCAGGTGTCATCATTTGGTGTATTCCTTAATGTTGTTACCCACACGTGTCATTAGCATCACTCATCTCCCACCTCACCCATTGTAGATATACCTTTTTAAAATCAATTAAAAGTTAAGTTACAAAACAAAAATAGAAAAATGTATTTTTTAATTGATTTATTGGTTTTCCGTCAACATTTAATAAACAAATATTGATTTGGTAAATCGAAAGTGTTTCGCAATTCAAACATCATAAGGTTGCCTTGTTTGGCACGTCTTTTTAGCTATCAAACTCTATAAATACCCATCTTTTCGCCTTCATTTTCTTCTTCCTTTTCGCTCTTTTCCTTTTAGGGCTTTCACTTTAGCAAGCTGCCGTAATTTTTCCGTTTGTGTCAAAATTTTATTTTTTCGCCTCCTTTTTCTCTTCTTATTCAATTAATGCTCACATTTTATATAGTAGCTTTTGTTTGATTTTAAGGTTCGCAATCCCACATCTCCATTTTAAAGATCGTAATTTGGTGTTTGGTTGATTGGAAAAAAATATAGTCGCTTTCAGACCCAGGTATTGCCACTGATTCTATTTTCCATCACATTCTTTATTGTTTTCCTTCAAAATTGAAAATTTTCTTGGTGTTCTGTTTTTCCCTTTCATAACTTTCCCTTCTATATTCGATTACACTCTGCTTACAAAGCAAATTAGGTTGATAATTTTATATTTTGATGAATATATATGTGCATGTGTGTGTGCACACACTAGCGTGTACATATGTATATAGATATATATAATTGACCATATATATTCGTTCAATTTCTTTATGAAAGCATATATAAGTGTTTTATTTTGTCGGTTGCTGTAAAGATGCTGAAATTGCACGAGATGTCATAATCAGTTTTCGTGGTTTAACAAGGAAACAATGGGAAGTCTTTCAATTGATTTGTTTTTGTGAAAAGTAACGCCTACCAAACAGCAAACGACTTTTATGTGTGGTTTAGCATCCCATTTTAGGCAATATTTGGACACTTTAACATTCACTAATCCGAAAATTTTCTAAATTTTGTTTAGTGGAAGCTTGTCCCAATTTCATGTGGTTGGTCCAATCGAAATCTTGCCTGGTTTGTCCTCTCTCTCACGAGGGAATGTTTTTTTGGATGTTATTGCAAGAAAATTATACTAATTAGTTGGTTGCAGCGTCTACAGTAGAGCTTATGGTATGAGAATTGGGAATTTTTTTTTTTTTTTTTTTGGGGGTGTAAATCCCTATAAGTTTTTCATCATGATCATTTTTTTGTTTTTAGCTTAAGAAAATTGTATATTAGTCTAAGCTGCAATAATTTCTTTCCTTTCATGTCCACTTTTGAATGGGATCTTCAGAAGCAAATAAATTTATAAATAATTTGAAGATTTTTTGCAGTTTCATATTCAATTATTTTTATTATTCTCTTCAAAACGAATCATTTTTGTGATTTAATTGTTTTTTTTAGAGTGGACTTTAACACAAATAGTAATGTTAAATGTTTATGTATATAAATTGGGATGATATTATTTCAATCCTTGCTTGATTCAATTTTGTCCCCCTCAGTTTACATGGTTCTGGGTTTGAAACATTTCCAACATGTATAAATGTTAAGTTTGAAGATAAGTTTTACAAAGATCTATCATCCGAATTCCATGTGGGCTTTGGATTCAAATTTTGGGATGCCTCCAAGCTTACAGACTAAAATTTATTCTCTAAAATTTTGACAAGCATATCTTCTTCTTTTTTAACTTACTAACTCGGGTTGATGTTGTTTTGAACTGAGTGCTGTTTTCAGTTTGGTTTCTCCTTCCACAAAATCTCAGTTTCCTCGTGTGAATTTTACCAAACGGAAACCTAAACTCTGTTTGTTTCAATGGTTCTCAGAAAAATTATTGGGAACAAGAATATTCTTTTATGGTTCAATTTACCTATGTGGATCTTGATGTGAAGGTAGGGCAGGTTTTGTCATGTCTCATATATTAGCTTTTCAGAGAGAAGTTCTTCTGACCTGATTCATCTCAGAAACAACTTTTTAATGAAATAGTTCGTATTGAAACAAGTGGAACCTTAATGTAAAATACTTTATTGATAACTATTGTCAGTAGCATGTCGGTTTTATAATTAATTGCATGCGATGAAATTTCAGGAGTTAAATTTGGAATTTTGCTACCAAAAAGTAAGCCCTTAGATTATATTGTTGATTTGTTTGAAGTGAAATATAAATATTATTATGTAAATATGACTTACCTTTAGCTAAAATTTTACGTCTCCCTGTAAGGACTTCTAAAGATATGACTTTCTTGTTCTAGTTAAATATTATCCATGATTATTTGTTTCTAGTGGATGCATTCAAACTCATTTTTGGGTGGCTATGCTGTGTCCAACATTAGATACGGTGAGGGGTACAGATGTCACGAGCCAGCCTTCATGGTAGCACAGCTTGCCCAAACTTTTCTCTTTCTTCACTCTTTTGTTATTCACCATTGGAATCCTGTCCGGTCGATGTGGTACTGGTTCTCAGAAATCAAGTCCAGGGTGTACGAAATTTATGTCTGGATATGCTAAAATCGAACTCACTGATCAGGCCCAAATATTTTATTCTATATTTCCATCATGTTATATAAATGAAATGACTATACCTAGCTGAGGTTTCTGTCTTGGATTGGGTTACTTTGGGAAGAATATATTCTTTTTTGGAACTATTCTCAGTTAAAAGTTTATTATGGATTTCATTCAATCTGTTTCAGTTTATTTATGTTGGAGCCTGCTTGACTGAGTGAGTACGTCGGATTTCGTCATCATAGTTACCTTTTATCTGTTCCAAGCTTCTTGTGGAAACGGTCATTATTCACACCTCAATAATCTATGCTATTTATTGCTGGAGATAAATTTAGTTATTATCTTAGTTAAATTTAAAAATTCACAAAGTAATTTAGTCAGGCTGGTATTGTTGATGTTTTTTTTCTTTGTGTAAGTCACTATATTTCGTAAATTTTATCATTTAGTTTCTGTTTATAATGTCTCTGGCGGACAGGAGGATAATTTGCTGGATTCGGAGGCTTTATATGAATCCTTCCTCAAGAAACTCATACAAATAATGTTTGGTCACCTGGTATAAATGCAGAGTAGATTTAGAGATGAGGTATGATGTATTATTTGTTTTGATTGAGGAGCAACATCATTTTATTGAAGCTATGTAAGTTTTGCTTTTGACACGTTGCTTTGTCGATAGATTTCAAGAAGGTTGTGCTTGATGGACTGCTCGCCCAGTAGCTGTGATAAGAAAACGCTGAAGAGGTGGTTTTTCATTGACAAAAGAGTTGGGTAAAGTGAAGATCCATTCATCTCTGTTCTGACCAAGAAGCTATTAAACACCATAAACTTGGTTTACAATTAGAACCCTATGCAATGGACTTGAAGTCAACAAATGTGTCTCCTGTTCTCACTGATTCTCCACCCATGAACAAGTCCAGGCTAAGCACTCATACTAGTCTACTGCCTTACTCTCAATCGGGACTGTCATTCTCCTCTGCCATGCTAACAATTCCACGAAAGAAGCCAGGAAAGCTTGATGATGTTCGATCCAATGGTTGGCTTGATGCTATGATATCCTCTTCTCCTCCTCGCAAGAAGTTTCTCAAGGAATTCAATGCTGAGGTTGCTTCAGATGATAGTGATATTGCTTACAACTCCTGGATGGTATGCTTGATGTCTCTTTTATGTGGCAGAATTCTTTGTGTAATGTAATTCAGAAAGGTTATCAAAATCTGTCTCATTTTTTCTCTTTGCATGTGCAGCTTAAGCATCCATCAGCAATTAACTTTTTTGAGCGTATCACAAATTATGCAAAGAAGAAGAAGATAGTGATGTTTTTGGATTATGATGGGACTCTTTCTCCAATTGTAGATGACCCTGATCGTGCCTTTATGTCTGATGATGTTAGTGCTTTTACAAGTTTATTCCATGTCCTATGGAACCCTTTTGTTTCTTTTATCGTTGTCTAGTTTTATGTGTATACTGAAATTGAACAATTGCTGCCAGATGCGTTCTGCTGTTAAGGACGTGGCAAAGTATTTCCCAACGGCAATCATTAGTGGAAGAAGCCGTGATAAGGTAGCTCGAAGAGTCCATAACTGAAATAGTACTCATGTATTTCAGAATTGATTGTATTTTGTTATTTGTGTGTGCGGTACTCTTTTTGGATGCCATTAAGGTCTGATCATCTATCCCTCCCCAAATTTTCAGGTATATGAGTTGGTAGGACTAACTGAACTCTATTATGCTGGTAGTCATGGTATGGACATCATGTGGCCAGTTAGCGACACTGTGTCCACTGACCATTCAAACTGTATTAAATCTACTGACCAACAGGTAAGAAATTACAGGTTCTTTTCCCTTACGTTTCAGCCTGAATTTAAGATTAGGGAATTCCTAGATGAATTCCTCTGTAATACTCTATATTCTGGCGGCCTTTTTTTAAATTTCTATATCATTTTTCTTTTATGTGCAGGGCAAGGAAGTAAATCTGTTCCAGCCTGCTCGTGAATTTTTGCCTATGATTGATGAGGTGTGTGATTCTATTGTGCTTACTATGATGAGAACAAATTTCCACTAACTAATAAGAAAGTAACTGGTTGATTGATTATATTTCGAACAGGTTTTTAAAACCCTTGTCGAGAATACTAAAAATATAAAAGGCGCAAAAGTTGAGAATCATAAATTTTGCACCTCTGTTCATTACCGTAACGTAGATGAGAAGGTATTGCTGGGTTCCTTATATTTCATAATGTGATTGAATCCTTCAAAATGTTCTTGGTTGTTGGTACTAGTTTTGAAAGCATTCTTCTTCCCTTTTGACTTATTTCAGAGTTGGCCAACTGTTGCTCAACGTGTTCATGATGTTCTAAAAGATTACCCTCGTTTGCGACTAACTCATGGACGGAAGGTATCTTTAAGTAGCTGGGTTTTGAAATCAATATTATTTTTCCTTCATTGTTTCCCCCTTTTGTATTAAAATTTGCACATATTCTTGTAGCAATGCTCATACATCACTCTGGGCTTTTCTCTTTTTGTAGGTTTTAGAGGTCCGTCCTGTGATTAACTGGGATAAAGGGAAAGCAGTTAAATTTTTGCTCGAATCACTTGGTAAGTGAACTTATTATCTCTCCTATCTAAAAAATGTGTTATGGATTTTTTGTTATTAGATAATAGTAAATATATGTTGCAGGGGTATGCGACAGTAACAATGTACTTCCAATATATATTGGAGATGACAGGACAGATGAAGATGCATTCAAGGTAGTAGTACTACTAGTGTAATTACTATTCGACTCGCTCATCCATTGAGCTTGTATCTCAATGTAATGTAATTTGTTGATGCTGCTTCAGGTACTGCAGGAGGCGGGGAATCGAGGTTATGGAATTCTTGTGTCTTCAGTACCAAAAGAAACCAAGGCATTCTTCTCTCTCCGGGATCCTTCAGAGGTGCACATTCTGATCTTATGCGTAGAGTCTTTGGTAAACTTCCATTTTTACGTTGGCTTTGTTTTATTGCAATTGTCAAATTTAGAGAAAACTCTTGATATTTGCAGGTCAAAGAGTTCCTCAAGTCCCTTGTGAGATGGAAGGAAATGAATGCGAAGAATTCATCGAGTTCCTATTGAGGTGGAGAGAAAAAACAAGGAAGAGTAGCAAAGTAATCCTCATATAGGATGGGTATGGTAGCAGATATGGTATCTAGGTTCTAGGGAAAATCTGTTGCATTTATTTGCATCATTCTTTTTCCTCGTATTATGGTGTTGCGGCTTCTCTCTCTGCACAGCCACTTTCTTCTTCCCTCAGCCGGGATGGTGTGTCTAATTGTGGTCATTCTCCAAATGAGTTAATTAGTTGTTTTAATTTAACTTTCAGTAGTATGGTCCATATGGATTCTGTTGTGATAATCTTTTAATCTCACTTGCAAGTCTTATTCTTGCAGTTTTTATGTTCTTTGAAATGAAGTGAATTGGTATGACCTTTTTTTCTTCTTCTTTAGTTTTGGCAAAGTATATGGAACAGAGGACAGAAATCGTAAAATGTTACGGGCTTTACAAGTTCAAAGCCTCTGTTTTGAAATAGCAAAATGTTGGGATCCAACTTTTATTACATGTAATGGGCTAGTAAGTAGACCAACTGGCCCAAGGCCTTTCCATACATGTTCTGTTGACATGTAGAAACCAATTCAATTTACCCAAAAGCAATGAATTGATCCCACAGCTGAAAAATATCAATCTGAACAAGTGGAAAAATTACTGGTTATTTCACTATTGACTCTTCTTTTGATATGCTACATGCTTTCTGAAAAAGTGTTTGTGAAAATGCCAAGCATGTTGAAATTGAGATTACCTAGATTGCATTGGATGTGTTTTGCTTGAAAGGTCCATACTTTTGGAGTCAAAAATTGGATTGACAACTTCACAGGAAGCATCTTTAATGGAGGTTCAAAGGGATTTTTTTTTTTTTTTTTTGATAATTAGATTGTGTATTACAATGGCAGAGAATGAAATTGCATTTTTGTAATATGGTAGCATCCTATGCACAAATTTTGACTTTACATGTCAGCTTGCATGCGACGTTCTGCCTTTGTGATCCACTGACCCTACACTTTTGGGTGGTGGAGTTCAGATCAAGTCTCTTTTCCCCTTTTTTTCTTCATTGACAGCAACAGCTGAAACTTAAAATCTCACCAATCTTTGTGATCTGATTGGTCATATATCGCTATGCAACTTTCCCCCGATTGAGGACAGCATACAATAGTGCCGTCTGGCTTACTGGGAACTCTACAACACGAGAAAGACTGACTTATGTTGTGGAGTTTTTAATATGTTATTAATACAACATGAGCAATAAAGTATTTCTGTATCATCTAAACACGCCCAAAAGACTTGCACGCTTCTTGCCCCCACATCTACCTCCATGGCTAATCTCCATTGCTCTTCATCTCAACACGTAAAGCCTCCATATTCGACTCAATTTTTTTTGTACTTCGACAAGCTTCAAAGCGTGAATTCAATGTCCGGCCATTTCTTCTTCCATTACTCTCTTAAGGTTTTGCAGTTTCACATTGCACAAACTAATTAATTAAGGGTTTCATTTTGGTTAGAGATTTAACCTCCATGTCCAAGTGCTGTCATTTGGACACTTCATCTCCCAAAAGTTCCTATTGCCGATAATGTAGGACTAAAACGGCTGCAATAGAGTTGAGCTGAGCTGAGCTGAGCTGAGTTGAGTTGAGTTGAGTGTGTAAATAATCAGCAGTATAGCAGAGGTTTACTTTACCAAATTCCAACTCTTCTCGCAACCTTTTTCACCATTCAATTGGAAAGATATAGTATTTACACTATATATATATATACAATTGGTTGAATTTCATATAAAAGAGGAGAAAAAAAATCAGGAGGTCATCCTACTATTTCAAAATTAACTAATAAGATTGAATCAAAAAGGGATCAAAATTGCCTCTATTTTGACTTTTCTTGTCAAAATCTGGTTGAATATAAGTAGAGTTTATGATTCTCAATTCCAAAGTTAAGTGATTATTGACCTATTCAATGAGATAAAATTAATCATCTACCAAAAACTCAATCATGTTCATGATTTTTAATACATACATACAGTTATCCTCGAGACTGACTTTAGTTTTTGTTTTGCTTCTTATCTCATATTGAATGATTTAATTAGACAATTGCAATGATCAGGAGCTTCCATATGATCTTTCCACTGTTCAATAAGCTCGATGCTGAAAGGCAACGAACTGCAAAATTATATGAATTCTAAAAGAAAATTAAATTGCAATTGACTGTATGAATCCACTCCTTATTGTGTTGTCTGTGTCCTGTCCAACTAAAATATTTTCAATCTAAGTATATGAAATACTTCACAATGTAATTACAAATAAACCAACACATGAAGAAACTATTGTACATCTCCAATCTATTCATATATAACACGGATGTTGATGTAGCCATTAACTGTCACGTGGAATTTGAATTGAGTGCATATTCTGTCTCTAGCTATTTTTAATAAGATTAAACGAATCCAAGTTAACCCTAGCAAGTTGTATGATCATCTTCAGAATATCTTTGCACCATTTATTTACCGAATATATATATATATATCTTTGCACCATTTTAGTTCTTTTAACTTTTTTTCTTTCTTTCTTTTTCCCCAGTAATCAAAGGGATAATGGTGACTTCTTTTCATTAGCAAACTTGATGCTGACTGCAATTTTTGTGTGTGTGTAATATTTACTTAAAGCTACTAATTGACATAACATTAGATAGCTAGGCCTAACCTTATTAAAAACATTCATGTAAAAAGATGGACAAGTAGGCACCTAAGAGCTATACTATACTGAAGAGAATTGTGAAACATAAAAGGTTGAAGTCTTCCAAGCAAAAGTACACACATAAAGTGTTTAGAAGTAGTACAAGCTAGCTAGACAAGTATCAACACAAGACAGGACCTTCAAATGGCAGACGAGCTATGGAGAAATTAAAGTTGTTAGACTTAACTAGCATTAGAACCAGAAGCTCCATTGAAAACCAAGACTGCTAGATCGAGAGAGAGAGAGATTGAGAAGCCAACTTCAGCTGCACTTCTTAGTATGGAGAGACACCCATATTTGTTGGAGCAAAGAATCCATCTTTCAAGAGAACATCCTCACCTTCCTACGCCAACCCAATTCCCATATACAAAGGTTATATATATATATCAATATAAGTTTAATTGTGAACACAATCTGTAAAAGAGGAGAGGGTGGGTAAAGTACCTGTTGGCGCACGTTAGCCTTCTTCACGGACTGATCAGGCACGAGACCAAAGTGGATGTGTGGAAAGTGGGCCCACTGAGAAGATAACAGCAATTCAAAAAAAAAAAAAAAAAAAAGGTCACAAATGAGTGACAGAAATGAAACCCTAATTTGGAAAAATAATGATGAATTTTTATTTATAAAAAGAAACCCTAAAAAATATCTTGGATCATACGTTCTTTGCAGCAGCACTAAAGGCTTCTCTGTGGCTAATATCGGGATTTCCAGCCTTGATGCGTTGGATCTCGTCCCTGAAAATTGAAGGATGTCATGATCAATATTCATACATGTATGTGTTTTTTTGGATAAGGTGTGTGTGTGAATATATATATATATATATATATATATACACACACAGAGAAATAATTGAAAGTTTTGATGATCACTCACTTGATGAATCGGTTGTACGCTGAGGGGACTCTCTGTCTCTTCTCTGGAGCTGGACATGCACAGCACAGACACATTAATTTTGCTTTGCTGACTTTTTGTGCATTTATATTCATCGTCGTCATCATTTCTCTGGTTTATCTTTCTATCTATATCTACTACACTCATTGCTTCTTTATCATCTATATTTCCGGGGGAGAAATCTCTCTCCCTCCTTCTGTCTATCTCTCTCACACACACATAACTCATCACGCAACATACCTTTCAAAAAAAAACTCATCACGCTACACAGAATGAGAGATCAGACTAATTAAAATGGACAGTTTGGGTACTCTTGTCAGCTAGTAAAACTTGGAAGTTTTTTTTTTTCCGATAATTAAACTTGGAGGTTTTGTAGACATTAAAATGTAACTTCATAAAAGTTAGTGGGAAAAGGGGCAAAAAAAGTGTTATGAGAATGAAATTGATGTCTTGGAATTGAAATTGGAGGAAAATTAGTTCAAATTTTAAATATGTTATGTGCAAGACAAAAGCAAATGGTTTGATTCATATCTGGGCTTTCTTTCTTGGTTGGCTAAGAGAGTACTGTATATGAGCAGGCTAAAGTGCAAGCATGTTTAATCATCTTTTCAAAAGTTCTCTTCGGAGAGAGAGTAATTGGTAAGAAAAGGAACAATCTAATCAACCACAACATGACTCACAATAAAGGTTCTTTTTTGCATCTAAATTGCGATGTAGGGAAGACTTAATTGGATAAAAGAAAATTGAAAGTTAGAAATTAGTGTTATATATATATAAGAATATGTGATGAATCTCACGTCTGTTAATCATTGGGGGCCTTGGGAGTTCATCAAGTCCTCGTCGTTCTTGCAGCAGTAAATCATTTGGGTTTGGTTGATTGATCAGAAAGTTTTGAGTTGGATTTGGTATCTCTTCCTGCAAAATTATATCATCAATCCATAAGTAATTATACTTGCAATATTGATACAAATTTAAGGTTAGAAATAAGGGCCGTGACGTGATGGAAATAAATTTCTTAAATTAAGTTGTGAAATAAGTCTTCAATTAAATGATGTTTTATACCAGAAAATTATGGGAAGGAGAGAAGAAAGAGTGGCCCAGGTGAAGTTGATTAGCTGAAGGTACAAGTAACCCACGCATGTTTACTGGCAGCAGGTTCGTGCAGTGGCCACATCGAACCGTGACAGTCTTGAACATACTAGTGCAAGGAACACTCACCTACAAAACACCAAACATATATATTAAAACCCCAAAATAATTGACGATGGACATGTAAGAGATCTATGTAAAGAACAAAAAGAAAAAAGAACTAAACCACCCTAAGTGTGACATAATTAGTTACCAAATTCAAGTGGGGGAAGAGAGTAATGAAGAAGGTTACAGATAACTAATGAACAAATTAACTAGTGCAAGAAACACTCACCTACACCCCATCAAACATAGAAACCCAAAAAGAACAAATAAGAAATCAATAATGTGATGAGGAACAAAAACAAAATACAGGGAAACCCTAATTGACCTAGTTGGTAAACAAAATGCAACTGGAGCAAAGAGTAATCAAAAGGGTAGAGAGAGTTCTTGCACAACTTAATTAGTGAAAGGAACACTAGGTACTCACCCTCAAACATAAGAAACCCAAACATTATAGAAGATAGACATATAAGAAATCTATGTGAGAAACAGCAAAAAAAAAAAAAAAAAAAGTGACCTAATTGTTAAAGAAATGATCAAAGGGGGCAAATTAATGTAAGGAAAAGGGTAGAGAGACAAGTGAGGAGGGAATATGATACCGCGAGGACAGTGTCACAAATGTTGCAATGAACATAGCAGAGCTGCTCCGAGGGAGAGAGATGGTCCAATGACAAGGTAGAAGAGGAGGACATCTTTGATTCTCTGTTCTTTTAGAAATTGATTGCTTGATGTGGTTGACTGATTGATTGATTGATGGCTTGACAGATTAACCACCACCTTCGATCTGCCTTTCTTGATTATGAGTTGTGAAAGAAAGGAGCAAATAGAGGAAGAGAGATGTTTTATATATATGTGGAGAGAAAGATATTTTAAAGTATATATGTGGTGTAGTAGATATAAGAAGCCAAAGTGGCCAAAACCCCCTTTTTTTTGGCCATTTCTTGCTGGTAATTATAAATCTATCATACAGTACACATATGTATGTATATGTGTATGCATGCATGTAGGACAGAACCATAGTATGCATAGATGTTGAGCTTTAATATACGCATGGTGTACAAGAAAAGAACATGTGTTGTTGGTATTCCCAATGGTTGTGTGTGTGTGTGTGTGTGAGAGAGAGAGAGAGAGAGAGAGAGAGAGAGAGAGGCATGCAGGCGGCAGATGTGGGGGAGAGGAGCAGGAAAGGGACGTTTGCATGGGGTGATATAAGTCTTCACTCATTCACCTGTTATTTTCAAAATTAAGAGGGGTTATGTTGTTGTTTTTCTCAGGCTTTTGGAACCATATATGCAATCTCTTGTTCCCCCGGACAATAAGCCCATCTCCAACCCTCCAATTTTTCAGATTTGTACAAGTCCCTGCAATTGAACCAAGCGAGCCGAGTTTGAGTTTGTTTGAGCTCGGCTCGCTTGTTTGTGGGCTCAACTCAAGTTTGGTTTAGAATCATGACGAGCTCAAAGAGCTAAATTCAGGATCAGCTCATTTGATAACAAAATCGTTTAACTCGCGTTCAAGATCGTTTTGACTTGTTCATGAATTTATACAAATTTATATTAGTTTTTGTTTATTAACAAGTTCATAAGATTATATTCATGAAGTAATACAAGCTTATATTTATGAACTTGTTTATGAGCCCACACAACCCTACGTTCACGAATATATACGAGCAAACTTATGTTCACAAGCGTACATGAATAGAGTTCAATATTGTTCAAGATTGACTAGTTTACTAAATGAGTTTAGAAATGGAACTCGATTTGTTTGCTTAACGAAGAAGCCTAGGCCTGAGCCTTAAACGAACCGTGCCTGCGTTGTTCTTGAACATACAATTCGGCTCATTTGTAGTTTTACTTCTATTTTTACAATTAAAGTCGGGTTTGAGTTGAATTTTCAACAATCCAAATCTAAATTCAAACTCAAATTTTAATTTTATTATATACATTTTTTAGGGTTAATTACAATGACACCCCCTGAGATTTGTCATAATGACAGTCATATATAAGTTTGGCCTTTTTTGAATAATGACACCGTCTTGTCAAAATTTTGATCAATTTTTATCCAAACAGGCCCTTAAATGATTTGAAAAGACGAAATTGCCCATCAGTATTTAATTGATTTTAATGACAAAATATCATAATTTTTAAAAGACGCACTTGCCTTTCTATCAAGATCTCACCTAACCCTAAACAAGTGGCATGTTTGTTCATTCCACACACTCTCTAACTTCTAGAATGAAGAAGAATATTCTATCATCGATACAAATCGTGATCTGAAGATAACGTAGATGCTCGCCGCGGATAACACACTAGACGAACAAATTCGCAGCTTGGAGTGTGTAATCCAACGCCTTGCTCAGGCCATCGATCACTAGCGGCGATTATATTCCTGGCAAGAACTCCTTGTTGAACGGCCCAAACAGATCATCCGCCTTCTGCGGCGACGGTGCCACTGTCGCCTCCGCTGTTGGTATTCCGCCATATCGCTTCTGCTGAACAGAGATTGGCATCCTCGATGATGAAGATATTAAGCCCATATCTGATTTTGCATCATCACCAAATCCATTTGCGTTTTTGCCGGAAGGCTCGATTCACTTACATTATACCCGGTCTGAAATATAGACCCGAAACTAAAAGGGGAGAACCCGCACTCTCCAATCTCTTCAATGGCTGCTAATTTAAGTACATCTCCTTCGTCAATGGAGTTCCAGTGGATATATATATATATGGCCTTGTCAGTTCGACCCGAGAGGAGGCGGGCAATAGTGGCGCATTTGTTGCCAAACAGGGCGATGGTTTCCATTAAAACTAGTTTGGAAAAAAAAATTGTGATTAATTTGGAGATGGTTTGGGTAGTGTAGGAATGGATTGGATTGCAATTGTATGAATGTGTATGTGTGTGTGTGTGTGTGTAAAAGAAAGAGGTTGAAGAGAGGAAAAATGAGGCAGTGGTGATGGCGGCGATGGCTCCGTGGGTAGGTGGTTGATATGCAGAATGGGTAAATTGGTAATTTCAGTGTCCCATCATAAGTCAAAGGTTATTGAGGTCATTTTACCATGTGTCAGACACTCAAGGGGTGTTTTTGTGAAGGGAGCAAACCTGAGGGGGTATGATCCTTCAAAAGTGAGCCAATTTGTATATGGTTGTCATTATAGCAAATCTCATGGGGTGTTATTGTAATTAACCCTATTTTTTAATTTTAAAATATTATATGTATTTTAAATGACCCTTTTTCTTTTAAATCCTTTTGTTAAATCTTAATTTATTATTTTGAAGAAGTAATTTTCTAATAATTTATATTTTATTTTATTTATTTTTATTTTATTTTTATGTTTCAGGGTAAGCTAATTCAAAATTTACCTGAGATGAATTCAATTTTAAGCCTTATCAAATTTCTCTACATATACACAAATGTATGTGTGTAACATTGCAGTGTCTATTTACAAAAAACTTAACCCGACAATAATAAGGCTCAGGCTAACTTTTCTAACTCGAAGCCCGGTTCAACTCGAGCATGAACTTTATTATAATTATTTTTTTGGGTAAGGTAAATTATTTGATAAATGAGGGTTGTCTCTCACTGATGCCATATTAGTATATGTATATGTGTGTATATATATATCGATGAAAATCTACTGTAATACACTATTATATGTATAGAATTCACAAGTATGAAAGCTTACTTTTAATGATTTGACCACTCGATCTCTCCTCTTACACACATACAGATACGTATTTAAGTCAGTTATACCATCTGAGTAGACAGACTTTCCCATTTACCACCTTTGTCCTTTCCTAAATTTATATTTTTCTTTTTTAGTTTGAGTTGGCTAATTCAGTTGGATCTTTCCAACCCTTCACTTCTCCTCCACACATTTCTAGGATTCTTATGCTACAAATTTTGCAAAGCAACCCAAATTCGGTGAAAAAGATAGTTGCCATCTTTCTTAATTAGTTGTTTAAAACTTTTTTTACTATATGAGAACCATCACTATCCATCTTCATTTGCATTTAGGGTTTTTCCTCTTTCTTGAAAAGCGCCTAGAGGTGAATGTACACAGTGCACTCATTGACACCTCTCACATGTAACTGATATAAAAATGGGTAGTGTGTAAGTCCTGTGGTAAAAATAAAATGTGTTACTGATTAGGTAAAAGTCATAAGGTTTGTTCCAACTTTACAGGCCACCAAAATGGTGTTTTCAAATTTCAAACACTACCCATCACCATGCGGACGAGGAAGTAATTCTGAGTATTATTATATTTGGATGGGTCTGTGCTAAAAAGTCAATTTTAGTACCTAGCGCACATTAAATGTTGCTCTAAAATTTAGTTGCTTTGAGAGAAATGATGAGAAAGATTTAAATTTATTTTATTTATTATTTTATACCCATCATTATAAGTAATATAGTAGTTTATAAAGAATAGTATTGTAATTTAAATTTTTTTAAAATAACTCGAATTATTTTCTCTCATTAATGCGGAACAAGTAAATTTTTTTATTTTATTTATTTATTATTTATTTATTTATTTATTTATTTATTTTTCTTCATATCTTCCTTCCACACATCTTCTTTCCCACTTACCCAACTAAGCATGACTGTTGGGGGCACAAATCACATGCTGTGCAATTTCCATATTGTTTCCTACAGTGAGCAGTAAGTAGCCTTGATTTGGCCATGTTTTACTCTATTTAATAAACACTAACACTGTGTTTGGCAATTATATCACTATTTATAAGTAATATTTCATCACCATTTTTAAGTAACGTCCCAGAAGTTTAAAAAGTAATATCATATAGTTTAAAAAGTAATATTACCACTATTTATAAATATCTTCACCCTCAAAACGTGGTGATGTTACTTTTTAGACTATGTATATTACTTTTAGACTTCTGTGATGTTACTTATAAATGATGGTAATGTTACTTTTTAGACTATTTTTATATTTCACCACCATTTATAAATAATATCAAGAGTCTAAAAAGTAACATCACTATTTGTAAAAAGAAATATCACCACTTTTAATTTCAAATAATAACATAAATGGTATATTGAATTGAGTTATGTTTATATGTGACATTACTTTTTACACTATGGGATGTTATTTATAAATAGTGGTGAAATGTTATTTATAAATAGTGGTGTAATTGACTAAACGCGGCTTTAATGTTCGTTAACTGAAGAATTATGTAGCCAAATATGAACCACTAAAAAGTTACAGCAGAAACTGTATGGAGCATGTGATTCGCGCCCTACTGTTGGGACTCTGCAAACTTAGTCCGAGTTTCACAGGGAGACCGACATTCAAAAGGTTGAAATGGAAGGGAAAGTAAAATGAGACATCCAGTGTGATTGGATTTGGTTGATTTTTGATGGATTTGACAAGTAAATGGACATATCCTCAATTGTGAGTGAGTTCATGCCAGCTAGAGTAGTGGTCTATATATGAAGGCTAATTGGCTGATAGAGATGCAGTGGGTCAGCGAATTTCTGAGATGCAAGACTCCCTACAGCAGTGGTCGGAAATCTGACGCAACACCCTTCTTGTGCCACTCGTCTACCATCCTACCAAGCACAAGGCTCGAGCTTCCAAAGTATAATTCCAATATGGCTTTTAATAGGGCTGCAAATGAGCCGAGCCGAGCCGAGCCGAGCCGAGCTTTAGGCTGTTCGAGCTCGGCTCGTTTATTTATGGAATCAGCTTAGGCTCGGGCTCGGCTCGTGACGAGCTCAAAAATTTAAGCTCGGGCTCGGGCTCGTCTTGATTTTAAAAGCTCGGGCTCGGCTCGTTTAACAAAAAAAAAAAAAAAAAAATTTAAATTAATTAGTATTTTACAGGCCACAATACCTTTTTCCATTACTTTATCA